GAGAATACTTCCTCATCAATTCTACAAGGATAGCATTACCCTAATACCAAAGCCAAAGACATCAAAACAAAAGTTACAGCCAATATTTCTTAGGAATATACATGCAAAAATCCTCCACAAAATTCTAGGAAACTGAATCTAGCAGCTTATACTATGACCACATGGCATTTAACCAAGGAATAAGGGAGGTTCAATATACAAGTATCAATAAAAATATATTACATTAACATAATGAATTAAAAAAACAAGTAATCATCTCATTGGATGCAAAAAGTATTTAAAAGAACTCAACATCCTTTTGTGAGAAAAACACTAAACAAAATAGAAGGAACCTACCTCAACATGATAAAAGGCATTTATCAAAAACCATAGCTAACATCACACTGAATGGTGAAAGAGTCAGTTTTTACTCTGAGATAAGAAAGAAGAAGATATTCATTTTTGCCACTTCTAAATAACATTGTAATGGAAGCTCTATCCAAAGCAATTGTCCAACAAAAAGATTTAAGACAGCCAAATTAAAAAGCAAGAAATGAAACTAACCTTTTTTTAAATTGTACTAGATTCTGGGGTATATGTGCAGATCATGCAAGATTGTTGCATAGGTACATTCACTGCCAGGTGGTTTGCTGCCTCCATTCCCCAATCACCTATACCTAACATTTCTCCCCACGTTATCCCTCCCTACCCTGCCTCCCAGAAACCATCTTTTTAAAAAAAAAAAATTTTAGAGATGGAGTCTTGCTATGTTGTACAGGATACAGTGAGGTGACAACTTACAAGCATGATTATAGTACACTACAGCCTCAAACTCCTGACCTCAAATGATCTCCCTGCTCAGTCTCCCAAGTAGCTGGGACTACAAGCATGTGCCACCATGCTCAGCAATAAAACTATCATTATTGACAGATGACATGATCTAATATATGGAAATCCACAACAATCCACAAAAAAAAACCATTAGTGCTAATAAATTCAACAACGTTGCAAGATACAAGACCAACACACAGGCCAAGTGTGGTGGCTCACAGTTGTAATGCCCAGCACATTGGGAGGCCAAGGCAGGTTGATTACTCGAGGCCAGGAGTTCGAGACCAGTCTGGCCAACATGGTGAAACTCTGTCTCGACTAAAAATACAAAAATTAGCCAGACCTGGTGGGGCATGCCTGTAAGCCCAGCTACTTGGAGGCTGAGGCACAAGAATCACTTGAACCCAGGAGGCAGAGGCTGCAGTGACCCAAGATCACACCACTGCACTCCAGCCTGGGCAACAGAGCAAGACCCTGGTCTCAAAAAATAAATAAATGAAAGATCAACACACAAAAATCAATTGTATTCCTGAGGGAATGTGTTCTCATTCCAGGGTCCACAAGGGGGCACAGTTTTAAGCGCAAGAACTTCCCAGCGCCATGCCCACCTCCCATCTCTCTCCATCCGGGAGCTTTAACAGTTTATGTTTAAATTTCGCAGGTGCAGGAAAGGGTCAAAATTCAATCACTCCAGTGGAAGTTCTAAGAAACTCCTTTCATTGGCCCAGGGTCTTCGAGAAGGTGGGGGTTCCTCCCAGGTTAAAAGTCCCCTTCTTCCACACCCCTTCGGACTGCATGTTTGGAACCCCTTACACGAAAACTCTCTCGTGGAAGCCATCTTTCTCTTTCCTGGATTTTCCCTCTGGAGTCCCCTTCCACACTCTCTCGTGGAAGCCTGTCTTCCCCTCCTAAACTCCATCTATCTCTTTATTCCTTTCCACTCGGTATGGAAGCTGCTTTCCTCTCCTGGATTCTATCTGTCTGGATTCTCTCACTTAATGTGAGAGTTAGCTGTTTCTTTCTCTCTCCTTCTCCTGTTTCTCTTTCTCTACTTAAATAAATCACTTTCTACAAACACTTGTGAGTCCAGCATTTACTGCACACTGAGCCATGATCTCCTCTCCCATTCTTGGGGAGTGATAGACCAAGAGCCTGGAGAAACATTCTCTCAGGGGAGCTGAGGGCACCCCTGAACCTGGAAACATTCCTATATACTACCAAGGAACAAGTCAAAAAAGAAATTAAGAAAACAATTTCATTTACAGTTGAATCAGAAAGAATATAATACTTTGGAATACATTTAACCAAAGAGGTGTAAGACCTGTTTACTAAAATCTAGAAAATATTGTTAAAATTAAAGACCTTGATAAATTAGAAGATATCCCAAGTTCATGAACTGGAAGCCTTAATATTAATAAGATAACAATACTGCTCAAAGTCATCTACGGAGTAAATGAAACCCCTATCAAAATGACAATGACCTTTTTACAGAAATGAAAAAGTCAACTTAATACCTACTAAGGTGATCTAAATCAGAATAACAGATAATATGTGTTGGTGATGATGTAGAAAAATTCGAACACTTATACACTGCTAGCAGAATGTAAACTGGTAAAGCTGCTATGAAAAAGTTTGGTAGTCCCTAAAAAATTAAAGATAGAATTACCATATAACCTGGAAAATTCCACTCTTAGGTATTTATATGCCCACAAGAATTAAAAACCCGTACTGAAACAAAACCTTGTACCTGAACGTTCATAGGAGTAATATTCATAGTAGTCAAAAAGTAGACACACCGAAATGTCCATCTATTAATGAATGGATGAACAAAATGTGGCACATCCGTAAAACAGAATATAATTCAGCCATAAAAAGAACAAAGTGCTGATACATGCGCTATAATAAGGATGAACCTTGAAAACAGTAAGCTAAAAGAAGTGAGACACAAAGGTTATACATTGTATGATTCCACCTATGTGACATACAGTATAAGCAAATCAATAGAGCAAGAAAACAGACTTGTAGTTTCCAAGGCACAAGGTGACAGCAAAATGGGATGTGACTGCTTAATGGGTAATGGGTTTCTGTGTAAATTTCTAACTAGATAGTAGTGACAGTTTTATAATGTTGCAAATCTACTTAATGCCACTAATCTATACACTTTAAAAATGGTTAAACTGGTTACATGGTTACATGTATTCTACTACACTAAAAAGTCTCTTCTAAAGGTTTTCCTATAAATAGATGTGAGATTTTCCTGAACTACAACAATAGAAATAAAATAGCTATACTGATTTTATAAGTTAAGAGTTGACAATTTTCTTCAGGAAACATTTTAGGGTTTGCAGGCCCTCTTGCTCATTTCTATTACTCACCTATGCTGATACAGCATGAAAGCAACCAAAGACATTAAGTGAATAGGTGTGACTGTGTTCTGATAACTTAATTTATAAAAACATGGAGCAAGCCAGATTTAGCCTGAGAGTTAAAGTTGGCCAACATCTGTTATATATTACTGTTCTTTTTTGTATTAATGTGGTTATTATGAGAAAGTACAAACATGCTACATTATAAATTAAAGTTGAATTAAATTACAACAAAGTTGTATCAGGACAGTTTGTAGTAGTAAAAGATTTACACTGACTGAGAATCAAATGAATACTAATAAATTAAAATATCACATCACTCAAACAGAACAGATAAAATGACACATTAATAAAAGTTTTACACTTACTTAAGCATTACTAAATGTGAATTACAATGTGAACAACAAATAATCCATGTTTTTTAAGCTGAAAACTTTTCCTTTTGCCCAACTAAAATGAGAGTATCTGCTAACTTAACTTCCTTTTTACTACCTTTCTCATTTTTTTTAAATACTTGAAACTTTCTAAGATGAAATTTTATAATGAAACTCTAAAACTTTCCAACTTTCTAATACCCTTTTCTGAAATTATTTTTGTAACTACATGGCTGAATACTGGTTATTCTTCCTTCATTTTATTTTTTAGTTTGGTTTCTTCAGTCACGATTTAAAAGCTCCTTAGGACATTTAAAAAGAGTAAACCTAAGAAAGGTATACTCCTTCATAAACCACTATCTGCTTGAGATATTAACAATTAATAAAATGACCTAGAGACAGAACAACAAAACCAAAAAGAAAAAGTGCTCAGTTAATTTATATACCACATAAATCAGGTGAGACAAATCTCAAATTGAAACTTTAAGAGATGTTTTTAATAGTACAGACTTCAAAATAACTCATATTGAACTCTAAATCAGTACTTTCTTTTGTAGCTTAGCTAATTCTTAAATGCTATGGAGCATTAACTTTAAGCCCATAATAAATGAAATTATAGTGAGTGGTCGGTGGTTTGCACACAGATCTTCAATTAATTTGGTTAAATGAAACCATGCCAAGAAATAACTTTTGTCCACAGAAAACCAGAATAAAATGTCTTTTGCAAATTGGTGTCTAGAAATTTATTCTTATTATTCAATTCCTCCACTGGAGATGATGGAGAATGCACCTCCATGCAGAAATGAAGAATAAAATATTCACTTCTAACCATCTCAATTAGCATTTTTCTTCACTACCTGCTATTGGCATTTACCCTATATAAAGATCCTCTTAATCATAAGCAATATGTATAAACCTGTCTTTCAAAAAATTTTGTTATTTCTATAAAAGACCTTACATTATAAGGTAATTTCTTTTTTAAAAAAACACATAAGGTAGTTGAGAAAACCACTAGATAAACCACTTTAAGTTAAATGCTAATCCTGAAAGAAAAATCTCTATCTTAAAATCTTTGTTCTTTTAACAAAATATAAAGCATACTGACATAATAAATACACTGACTGTTCAAGTATTAAGGATTCCCTGCTATGGTAATATGTAAATTTTATTGTATTATAAACTACAATCCATCCTAATATTTGCAGAATAATTATTTTAGATCAGTAAGCATCAAGTAAGCTACGACCACTGTTAAGTGTGGATTAAGAGAACATAAAAGACACAAATAACAATCTGAAAATTTCTCTTGGTTCTACCTACTTTCAAGCTACTGTATGCCTGGTAACCATAAGCCAAATTTAAAAGTATGACTGAAGAACTTAATTATGTATGTAGAATATAGTGGCGTATATAGTTTTTTATATATACTTAATTGTGATAAAGTACTTACTCTAAAAGAGGTGGAAGTATTTCACAATTCAAAACAAAATCTCTGCATTCTGCATTATCACCAGCAATATTGCCAAGTGCCCAAACAGCCTTAGAAGAAAAAAAAAATCCTCTTAAGATAATATTTTAAATAAGAGGCTTTCCTTTAGGAATGAGATTTTAGTACAGAATGAACAAAGCAACTGTTTGTAATATGTTAAAAAAAAAAAAGTAGAGAAGAAAAACTTCTAAAATGCAATTTAATATTTTTATTCAAATTGAAAGATAGGACATTTAAAAAGTTTTCCAGCTGAGCATGGTGGCTCACACCTGTAATCCCAGCACTCTGGGAAGCTGAAGTGAGCAGTTTGCTTGAGTCCAGGAGTTTAAAACCCACCTGGGTAATGTGGTGAAGCCCTGTCTCTACTGAAAAAAATGACAAAAATTAGCTAGGCATGGTGGCACACACCTGTCGTCTCAGCTATTTAGGGGGCTAAAGTGGGAGGATCACTTGAACCCAGGAGGCAGAGGTTGCAATGAGCTATGTTCCACCTTGGGCAACAGAGCGAAACCCTGTCTCCAAAAAAGAAAGTTTTCCTTGCATGTTAGTGAAATACCTATACTGTTCAACAAAGAGCACAGCTTACTCTGAATTTACATGAAGAGACAAAATACATCTATTTAGCAAATTTTCCAGTTATTATCATGCACTGCATAATGACATTTCAGTCAATGACAGACTGCATGTAAGGTGGTGGTCTCATTATAACACCATATCTTTAATGCACCTTTTGTATGTTTACATACAAAAATACTTACCATTGTATATGCAATTGTCCACAGTAGGCCAGGTGCTGTGGCTCATGCCTGTAATCGCACTTTGGGAGGCAAGGTGGGCAGATCACTTGAGGTCAGTTCATGACCAGCCTGGTCAACATGGTGAAACCCCATCTCCACTAAAAATACAAAAACTAGCCGGGCATGATTGCAGGTACTTGCAATCCCAGCTACTCAGGAGGCTGAAGCATAAGAACTGCTTGAAACCCAGGAGGTGATGGTTGCAGTGAGCCGAGATTATGTCACTGCACTGCAGCCTGGGTGACACAGCAAGACTCTCAAAAAAATAAAAAAAACACCAAAAAACAAAAACAGCATTTGTCTACAGCATTTAGTACAGTAACATGTTGTATAATGTGTAGCTGGGGTGCAAAAGGCCATACTATATATCATCTAGGTTTGTGTAAACAGACTCCATGGAATTTGCAAAATGACGAAAATGTATTTCTCAGAACACACATTCGTTTATTAAATTTTGATTAGGTAAGAAATTATGCAAATGCAAATTATAATTTTATTATATTCTCACCATAAACTTTTCATGTTATTACAAAAGTAGACAAGTTACTTTTCAATTGGTAAAGTTTTATTTTAATGTTTAAAACATAAGTTAGTATTTTTAACATCTACTCTAGACCTAAATTTTTTTGTTTTTAAGAAAAACCTTTAAAGATATTTTCTACCTTGTGGAGCATAATATTCTGTTGGTGGAGACATTAATTGGTATAACATTTTTGGAGTCGGACTTTGAAATACATAGTAAAAACTTTAAAAAATGTATCTTTTGACAGGGTAGTCATTTTTCCTAAATAAATAATCAAAAGGCACATAAAGAGTGATGACATATAATGATATTCATCACAATATTATTAACAACACAAATAAGCTAGAAACAATCCAAATGCAGTAATTCAGGAACAGATAACAAATTATGGTACATTATCTGAGCAGATATTGAATAATCAGTAAAATTTCCTTGGAAGAATAATTACTGCCATAATAAAAGGCTCCCAATATTAATGTTAACTGAAAATATATATATAAAATGAAATGACGAATGAAATGGTAGAGAGATCAGCAGATTAATGCACATAAAAATGATGCAAAACAAAAATGTCAAATTATTTGATTTTGATGGTACAATTATATGTAATTAAATTTTCCCTCTTACAACAAAACTTTATTAAGTTTATTTTAAAAATGGTTCTATTCAAACTAATGTGATATTTTTAAAACAAATATGCAGAAAACAAGAATTCAAATCAGTCCAGGCTTAAAACCTGGCTCTGCCATTCATTTTGACTTTAGATAAGTTACTAACTTTTGAGTCTCAGTATGTGCTTGTTTTTATTTTTTTGAAGACAAATCTTGCTCTGTTGCCCAATCTTGCTCTCCTCCCTGAGGAGCTGTGGCACCATGCCTGGCTAATTTTTGTATTTTTAGCAGAGCTTGGATTTCGCCATGTTGGCCAGGCTGGTCTCAAATTCCTGGTCTCAAGTGATCTGCTCACCTCAGCTTTCCAAACAGCTGAGAATACAGGTGTGAGCCACCGTAGTACCTCAGTATGCACTTTTATAAACAGGAATAGTAATTCCTATGCTAGCTGCAACCATACTTATGGAGAACCCAGGATTATGTCTGGAACTGTTCATTCTCCCTCCCTTCTAACTTAACACCAAAAAACACTACTGTATTTTAACTAACTGCAATACACAGCAATTAGGCACAAAAATGAATTACACATTGTAATTACAAATGGTACTTTTAAGGGAAAACTGAATTCTAGTACACATAACAATACAAATTGGAAACATACCTGTTCTTGAACATCTTCATGTTCAGAATTAAGAAGTTTGATAAAAATCGGAACAGCCCCAGTTTCAATCACTACCTTGGTATGCAGAAAAGTTCCAGATGCTATATTAGTCAATGCCCATGCAGCTTCAAACTAAGAAGGAAAAAAGTAAAAGAAATGAAAGGGCCAAAGAAATGTCAGAAAGGCAAAGAAGGAAAGAGAGGGAGTAAAGACCTGGAAGGACAAGTGTGAGAGACCGACTTACATTAATAAGATTCATTGTGAAGTCAGTTTAAGGATAAAAACTCTTAGAAAAAGAAGTAATCATCGTCAAAGATCACTGATTACAAAAGAGAAAAAGAAAGTATTCTTTAATATGGAAAAATAAGAGCTGAGAAAAATATAATGAAAATATACAAAATCAACAATATATAAACACCTTTGAATTTATAATTCCTAAAACTCCTGTTTATTATTAGAAAACCAAGTGTTCTAAAGCAAGCAATTTAAAAACAAATAAGAGACACTACTTGTAACAACAGTATATTTAGGAAACTTAGAATCAGAAGTGGTACTTATTTCTCTACGGATTAAGTAACCTCAACCTACTTATTTACAAAACAAAAAAATTAAAAGTTGAGAGATTTAGGTATTTTTTCAACATCAAGCTTTCCTTATCAGAGCCAGTGCTAGGACTTCTGGTATTCTTTTAAGCTGCAGAACCTCTGAGAAGTTACTCATATCAATGCAATTAAAATCTGAATATACATATACATTATGGATTTAAAATAAAAGCAACTGAGAAAATTCAACCATGGCTCCAAGATGATGAACTAGTGAATTACTGAAAGCAACCTTCAAATCCACAGGCAAACTAAGTGGTGACTATAGCTTAAAAAATATTTCACGTATTTGACATACAAAATTAACCATGAAAAAAAAAATTTTAAATATTTTACATAAATAACTTTACACATGAACACACAGACATCATTATAAGTAACAAATAATGTACCCAAAAGCATTACTAAAATACTAAAAAGTACAGTTACTATTACATGCAGGACTAAGAAAAATTTTTAAGGGAATTTATATTTAAAAATAATGGAGACCATAGTTCTAACCAATTGTAGATAATGAAATAAACTAATGGAAAACTGAAAGGTTACTCTACAAACTTGTCCTTAGTATCCCTATGAGAAAGCTTTAGTTAAGGCTGGTAAAGTAAGAAGCCTGACAGCAACCAATTAGACATAAAATGACTTGTAAGCGACAACTGTGAAAACCTAGAGTATGTGGCTACAATTTTTTTAAAAAGGTAAACTTTCCAGTTAAAAAAAGAAAATAGAGACAGAATGCCTCTTCAACATCCTTTAATTTTAACTATCTGGCAAAAATGTTCGCACTTCTGATTTGTCAAAAGGAGCCAAAAACCCAAATATTCATTTGAAATCCCCCAATTTTTTAACATTTAATATCTAATTCATATTTTAAAATGTATGCAGGTCAACAAAACTTGTTTGTAGGCCCCCAATTTGAGGCCTGTTAGGACCAATCATATGAACTAACATATTTCACATGCACTTGGGTAAGTAACATGGCACAACATGTAGCTGTCCCAAGACCACACTCTTGAATTTCCATAGGTTTCAATTAAGTGATTAATAAATGCTCAACTTCTTAATATTTCTTCATTTAGAAACAGGGTCTCTCTCCGTTGCCCAGGTTGGAGTGCAGTGGTTTGATCACAGTTCACTGCAACCTCAAACGTCTGGACTCAAGTGATCCTCCCACTTCAGCCACCCAATTAGCTGAGTCTACAGGTGCATGCCATCATACTCAGCTAATTTTTATGTTTTTGTAGAGATGAGGTCTCACTATTTTCCCAGGCTGGTCTCAAATTCCTGGGTTCAAGAGGTTCTCTCTCCTCAGCTTCCCAAAGTGCTGAGATTACAGGTGTGAGCCACCATACCCAGCAAATCTTCCCACACTGTGCTGTCTACACATGCTATCCTCTAAACCTAATATTAATTTTCCTCTTTTCAGTCTGCGAAAGGCTTCTTCGTCCTCAAGACTAGTCCTGCAACATTACCTTTTGAAGTCTTAAACATAAACTTCCCCTAAACCGAGTAAGTGTTCTGTGTTCCCAAAGCACTTCATTTATAGTTCTGTTAGAGCACTAAGGATACTATGTTACCACAGATGTTTTTTATGTCTGTCTCTTTTCCAGAACTGAGGAATTTCTCTAGACAAGACAACATCTTAATTTTGGAACTACAATATCTTACATAATGCTTGGCTCAAACTAGCTCTCAATAATTTTATTTATTCATATTCAATCATTTCTTCTTTCATTCAACTGGAATTAAAAAGCCAAATAATAAACTATCAGGAGGTCTGGGTTTTAGTCTGGACTTAGGTGTTATACAAAGCAAAGGGACTAGATTTCATGATCTCTAGTTCAAAATATTTGACAATAAAAGTGTAACATGACTGAGGTAGCCTCTTAGAGACCCTTATTGTAAACATTCTCAACAATTTTTTACATTCACATGTGCAATACACTCCTTTGCTTATACCAAAAACGTGAGGATTTTTCCCAAATGACTCAGCTACATAGACCACTACACTTAAGTTATAAATTCAACAACCATTACTGAAGTAACAGTCCTCCACTATTGACAATAGCATTTATAAGTTAGGTGTATGTCTTGTAAAATTCCTGGTAACATAGATAAAATTCCAACCTGTACTCTGACTTAATACACATAGCAGTGAATGTCAGGAAAATCAATCTTTTTTTTTTAACATTAAAATATTCATAAACTTCAGTAACTTACCATTAATAGCAAATTATTTGGAAGACATCTTAAAATTGTAACTATATCATGGTTGAGAACCAATGTTCCTAACTCTGGTCATATTTTTACTAGATAATACTAAATACTAATTTACTCTGTTTTTTAAAAAATCAATCAGCTAAATGTGTTTTAAGAGGCAAAAGTTATAACCTTCGCTAGCTAAGAATCAAAATAAATTTAACAACATTTTAGTTTGAAGTTTTCTAAAACAAAAGTTATTAAAGGTTAACAACTATAAATTGTTTATTAACATTAGTAATAATTTTACATACTTTTCCAAAATTGCTTAATAAAATAATAACTCCTAGAAAAAAAACTAGTACTCCAACCATGTCCAAGGCAAGACAGGTGGCACTACTTTTTCTTTTAATTACCAAGTATTTATTTAATGCTCACAATAGAGTCAGTACTGCAAAAGTTGCTTTCATTAGAAACTTTAACATGTCATTTCTAGAGAAAAAGTAAGAAAGAAAACTTTAGACTCACTTGTAAAGTGCAATTTTCATTTCTTTCAAGAAATTTCACAAACCTCTGTACAACTCCTGGTTTCTGTATAACTTGATCTATTGGTGGATTAGGTTCTAAAAATTTAAAAAGACTTAAGTTATTACAAAGACACATAAAGAAAACAATCTGGTCCCTGTGTCTATTAACAGGGCACATAAAATAACTCTCCTAGGTTTCCCTGACCCAAGATTAAAACACTTAGCTAGATGTAATTGAAGGAAAATGTTCTCCAAATTACAATGCTTTTTGTACATTTTGCAAATTCCGCTTTCTCATTCACTGCAATAAGAAATTTTAAAAATATTTCCTACATAAATATTTAATTTCACAAATTGAAAACTATTGAGGAGGACACCTTTAAAACACTGGTAATTTCTGTTCCAAACTCAAAATACCAACTGAGGAATAAAGTTTCCACTAATTCTTTATAGTACTACCCTCAATTTCTAAACATATCTCCTTCATTATCAATCATAATTTGCCTACTGTTTGTCAAACAAGATTCTGTCAGGAAATTATTTTTTATAGAAATGTTAATGGACTGTAATTATTGATAAATTTTCATGAAATGCAGATAGCTTTTGAGAATCATAAAACCTCTACGAAGTTTATATGAAATCCAGACAAAGATATTTCAGATACTGATTATCTAAGTATAAAGCACTCTTTTCTTCCACCTTGGCTTCAGTAAAATGTACCCTGTATGACTCTTCAGTAACTTCTCTATTGGTTTTCCTTTGAGATATTCTTATCCCTGTTTATTCTCGTCTTAGAAAATGTACCTATTTTGTTAATTTAGGTACCACATATTATTACTACTTGTGATAATTCACAAATCTAACAACGTTAGCTGAATTCTCCTTCCCTAGATTTCAGACCATATTCCTAAGTAACTACCAGATGTATTTTTATTTTCACACCTTTTAAAATGTATTTTGACACCTTTTAAAATGTAGCATAACCAAAATCAAACTCATTATATTATCATGGCTATTCCTTCCCTTGCTCTGCATCCACCACCCAAATTGTGTATTACTGAGTTATTTATTATGTAGTCATGCAAAAGAGAATACTCATTTCCACTTCTGATTTTTTTCTTCTTCCTCTGTTTCATTAATCATAAATTACTCATATATTAATGTTAGCAAATAGTGTTTAATGAGTAGGATTAATAAGCAAATGGTGGACATAAAACATCCGCACAAATCCTTCTTTTTATTATAGAAAAATATTTTCATTAAGTTTTAAGTCAGCTCAAGTCCTAGAAACCATGTTCTCAACTGTTAAGAAAGATTTACTTAGAAACAGACTTCCTTCTTCCTTTTCATTTTTCTGCAAATGTGCTATTCTTCTAACTTGGGCAAAATTTAGAAAATTTCTGCAAAGTTAGTAAAGTTATATCCATCAAGTTTTGTTTAGGTGTTCTAAATGAAAAGCCCCAATTCTTCAAAATGGAAGAATTAATTCCAGACCCTAACTTACATTGTTATAGTTATAAAACATCAACAGGATAAAACAGTAAGTATTCTTAATCATTTTACCCTCCACCTTAAAAAAATCAAAACAAAATTATAAGGTTGCAATTATCACCTTCACTATCTTGTTTTTTACTTCCAAAGAAAATCATAAACACATTATCCTGTTTTGTTTTAAAGTTAATGCACAGAAATTTTGTCTTGCTCTTTTTGAGAAAAAGAAATGAAAGAGAGAGGAGGAGGAAAATATAGGGTTTTGCGGTTTGGGGGCAGGGCGAGGTGGGCATTGAGACTGTCAGCTATATATATGAAAGTAAATGTAGATATGACATGCTATATAACCACACACACCCTAAGAACCTAAATACAATTTCTTCCTGGAGAATTAAAAGCAACACATTTATCTTTATGCTCATCTAAAAGAAAGCAATTAAAGTGCACTTGGATTGTCAGCTAATCTAGCAGGTATCATGAACTACTATTAGTATTATATTGACAGGAAGACAGTCTATATAATCTTATAATGGTGATGAACTGCTACTGAGAAGACTTTTAGTCATTATGGCAATAAGTAGTATGGGGGGAATATCTGCTTCAGCGCTGAAAACCAAGTAAGAGTCAGGCCAAAGAAAAAGGCTTTGGAGAAATTTCTACAAAACTGAAATTGAAGAAAAGGATGATTTGTGATTTATATCCACGAGACTGGCCACGACAAGAAAATACATAGGAGAGCGTGCAAAAGGTCATCATCACAGACTAAAGTCAGAGGAGTAAAAGCTGGAGCTAAGATAGGCTGTGGAGTACCCAGGGCATATTCATATCCACCTAGTGTTTACAGTAAGAATACTAATTATAATAAAGAAATACTTGCAAAAGAGGCAAAGTTCCCTGTTATTTCTGCTTCCAGTTCTGGGCTCTAGATGTTTGTTTTCCCATATTTCCTACTTTGACAGATGAAATAAAAATACAGTAAATCTATTATTTTTCTAATTCTGATAGATATGGCAGGAACTCACATTCATCAGTGAAAGAAAACATCTATAACTCCTTGTTCTATGTCCAACTGGGCAAGCATAATTCCATTACAAAGAAGAAACAGAGAAAACAATTGTCTCTATGAAAGATAGTACAGTTTAACAGAAAAAGAATACCTTGGGGAATTAGAGTAAACGAGGACAAAATCTTCTGATCAAATAATTTGATACCCAGACAACTTGCTTAAAGACATCAGAAATATAGTATGTAGACATATAAAGGTTTAAAAAAAATTGTACAAATGCAATTTTCCTAGGGTGAGGATAAGAAGGGTAGAGGCCAGGCACAGTGGCTCATACCTGTCTAGCACTTTGGCAGGCTGAGGCAGGTAGATCACAAGGTCAGGGGTTCAAGACCAACCTGGCCAACATGGTGAAACCCTGTCTCTACTACAAATACAAAAAAGAAAAAATTTAGCCAGGTATGGTGATGTGTGCCTGTAATCCCAGCTACTCTGGAGGCTGAGGCAGGAAAATTGCTTGAACCCAGGAGCAAAGGTTGTGGTGAGCGGAGATCATGCCATTTACACTCCAGTCTGGGCAACAGAGCAAGACTCCATCTCAAAAAGAAAAAAAAAAAGAAACAGGCAGAAAATCCTTCAAGCAATGCTCTAATACAAAAATTAATAAAGATAAAGAATTAGGTAATGAGAAAGTGGTATAAAAACACTGGTGGCAAACTCTAAAACTCTTAATGGTGGCAAACTCTAAAACTCTTAATGGTAGCAAACTCTTAAAACAAATCTGAAGAAATTCTGTTATCAGTATGACATGTATGTCAAAATAAAATCTTGAAAGAATATAATTTAAAACCAATTTTAAAATATTAATCTGACTCAGAAATAATCCCAATTATAAAAACCAAAACTGTGAAGTATGGTGAAGAAGAAAGAAACCATTGTTGATTGCATAAGGGTTCCTTGACATTACTAACATATGTGAGGAATAGAAAATGAAAGTTAAAGTTATTTATGAACATAAATTACAGTAAGAAAGGGAAGCCTTGTAATCTAAGATAACTTGATCACAAGATTTCTTTCATTATTCATGTGTCACTAAACTCTGTCTCTCTTAGGACGATAAGGCAGCTGAACTAAAGGCATTTTCAAAACTTTATCAGTTTATATATCAATTCCATAAAATTAGAATTACTAGTTCAATAAATTCCATATATGGGCCAGAAGTGGTGGCTCACACCTGCAATCCCAGCACTTTAGGAAGCCAAGGCAGATGGATCACCTGAGGTTAGAGGTTTAAGACCAGCCTGACCAACATGGAGAAACTCTTTCTCTACTAAAAATACAAACTTAGCTAGGTGTGGTGGCACATGCCTGTAATCCCAGCTATTCAGGAGGCTGAGGTGGGAGAATCACTTGAACCCAGGAGGCAGAGGTTGTAGTGAGCTGAGATCACACAATTGCACTCCAGCCTGGGCAACAAGAGCGAAACTATATCTCAAAAGGAAAGAAAAAAATTTTTTCATACATGAAACAAAAGACAAAGATTTAAAGTTTTATTTAATAACAAATTCTTATTAACTCAATATAAAATTGGTCAAATAACATAAATAGGCAATCATGTATAATAAAGAACCAGTAAATAAGGCAAAATATTCAACCTAATTACAAAAAAATGCCAAATAATGAATTACTATTACATAAGCATTTATTTTTTTCTTAAAGATAATTATGAGGCCGGGCATGGTGGCTCACACCTGTAATCATAGCACTTTGGCAGGACAAGGTGGGAGGATAACTTGAGACCAGGAGTTTGAGACCAGCCTAGGCAATATGACAAAACCCCAACTCTACTAAAGATACAACAAATTAGCTGACTGTGGTGCATGCCTGTCATCCCGGCTACTCAGGAGGCTGAAGTGGGAGAATCACCTCAGCCTGGAAAGTAGAGGTTCCAGTGAGCCGTGATTGTGATACTGCACTCCAGTCTGGGTGACAGCAGTGAGATGTTGTCTCAAAAAAAAAAAAAAAAAGGTAATTGTGACTGTTGGTAAAAATAGTGAAATGAATGTTTGTACAATCTGAAGACAGGAGTGTAAATTAATATACCTTTGACCCCCTACTTCATTTTTATTAATGTATATTAAGGAAATTTTATACTGTATAACAATTATTATAGCATTTTTATGGTAAACAAAAATTGAGAAAAATTTAAATGCCTGATTATATTACTTCGTGATTTAAATGTCTGATTACATTATTTTATGCTCATATTCTATGTTATGATACCATTTCTAAACTCCTCTCTAAAAAATATTTCTACAAGGATTAAAAAATATACATCTCTAACCTTATCTCTTGGCAGCAGGATTAATCATTTTTATATCTGCCTCTTTAAATGCTTTTAAATTTTACCATTTTTCTACAATCAACATATGTTACTTTGACAACCTAATGTTCAAAAATGGATGTTACTTTAAAATATATTTTACAGAGAATTTAACACCTGTATCTGGCAAAAAAGGGTACTTAAAAATTTTTTAAACCAATAAAATAAAGCTCTACTACAAAATCCTGTAATATCAAATAAGCATACAAAAATAATTCTTGCCTTTAGAAAGCAGCTTTCTAAATTTCTGTGTTGCTGTTAGCTGTTGATCAGCATTATTAGAAAAAATCATCTGAACCATATCTGTGGTAACAACTTCTTCCTAAAACACACACAAAAAAATATAATTCACATTTAAATATTTTGCATGAATAATTTTGCATGCATAAATATTTGTCATAAATACTATTGCTAAGATAACTGTTGAGGTATAATTTGAAATACATTTTTGTAAAGTATACCTCTGGAATGGGTACAGTGGAACTAATATCTGGATCCTGTATAGGACTTTCAAGCATAGATTCATCATTTCTGGGCAAAGAGACATTTCTGCGTTTGAACAACTGTAATAAAGAGAAATCAGTTTACACATTTCGCTTTCCATAAAACATTCAATTGCCATAGAATTCCATGTTTTCATTTGAGTGGACAAAAAAAAAAAAAACTACCAATTTTATAACTTAAAATTCTGAATATTTGAGTATTTCCCAATCATTATACCAGGAAGATCAAAGGTATTTATAAGTCAAACCTTCTGGGCTAGCTTTTGCCTGCACAGACTACTTCATGTTATTTTTATTTTCAATCTCAGATCTTTTACCAACAGTAAGTCTGTAAGTAGAGTACACATAATCATTGTATAGCATTTGAAAAAAGCATATATTCCCACATGGGATTATGAGATATCTAAGAATTTTTCCAGGAAAACTTAAAAAGCACATCTGTTACATAGGAAAGATAACCTCTGAGACATTAACAGATTTAGTATATCTGATTAACAAGGAATAGAAAACAACTCTTAGGAATGACAGTCCTATGCTTATTAACTCAGAAGCAGATAAAAATGAAGAAGAAAAAAAGAAGAAAGAAATACGGTGAGCTCACTTAGAGAGATTTATAGGTATAGTCAGCCCTTCCATATCTGTGGGTTCCACATTGCCTGTTCAACCAACCTCAGACCGAAAATAATAATAACAATAAAAAATAATAAGCCAAGGACGGCAGCACATGCCTCTGGTTTCATCCACTTCAGAAGCTGAGGTGGGAGGATCACACAAGCCCAGGAATTGGAGGGTAACCTGGGCAACACTGCAAGACCCCATCTCTTAAAAATCAACAACAAAAAACCAGTATGATAATAAAAAATAATACATTTTTTAAAACAATACAGTATAACAACTACACAGCATTTACACTTTATTAGACATTATAAGTAATCTGGAGATGACTTAAAAGTATACAGGAGGATGTGTGCAGGTAATATGCAAATACCATGCCATTTTACAAAAAGGACTTGAGCATTAGTGAATTTTTATATCCACAGAGGATCCTAGAACCATTTACTCTATAGATAACAAGGGATGACTATACATTTCCTAAATCAAAATTTGAGGTAAAAAAAATCTAGTTATATTCTTTTTGATAGCTAAATAAATATCATTCTTCTTTAATATGTAAACAATCTTCCTTCTAATCATTCAACATAATTTTTTTAGTAACTACTATAAAGGACTGTGCTAGATGCTATAGATACGGAGATGAGAAATCATAATCATATTTCTGAAATTGGTCTTGCCTATTACATGCCTGTATTCCTAGCATTATGGGAGGTAGAGGCTGGAAGATTGCTTGAGGCAAGGAGTTCAAGGCCAGCCTGGGCAACATAGCAAGACCCCATCTCTACTCCATTTCTCCCAGTAACTAACAGTAGCACAGGGTTCTGTTTCACAAATTTGCAGTATGATACCTGGAGTCTAATAAATAATAGGTTTAGCTATATTCAGTTTCTTAAAACATTTCTATTTAAAATTATCCAATAATTAGCAAATAATCAAACTTTTGAAAAACAAAATTAAATAGCTAAAAATACCTACCTGTTCTTCCCTTTTTTGTTTTCTAAGCTGTATTCCTTCTTCTTCTCTTCGTCTACGCATCTCTTGAGGATTTAGGGCTTTATTTTTATAACTTTTCATTCTATAGTTATCTTTCCCTGGACTAGCCATGGCATCTTAAAGTAAAGAGAAAAGAAACAGACACCAATAACTCACTCTTTCAAAACAACACGAGACATTTAATCTATCAACTAAATTCAGGCTCAGTGATTAACAGAACAACAAAACCCATTCTGAAAATTATGTACAAAGAATACATTCCCTTAATTCCACATCAAGATGAGAGAAAAATGACCAAATATTTTAGAAATAACATATTAAACAAATAATTTTGGTCTAAACAAAGACAGAGTTTACCCTGTCTTATTGATTAAAAGATGCAACAACCTTTCCTGCCTCCCTAGCACGCACAGTATTTTAACCTTTCTGAAAATTACTGTCAGGAAATAACCATGAATTATTTGGGAAAAAAAAAAAAAGTCTTCTAAATTACAGTTTCTGGCTAGATCAAGAAATAACCAGCGCTGAAGTATCTTATTTTTAATGAAATATGGTAGTAACCTCCAGTAAGTACATCTCAAATATTTATAGGGTTCTGGCTTCTTTCACTTACTGAAGGCATTGGGGGTCAGGACTTGAATTATGACTTCAATATCAGTTTTTAATACTCTAGTATAATTAGTTCTTTTGAAATACTAAAAAACATTTTATTTTTAAGTAGTTTTATTACAGAGATATTTTAAAACGTTAACATTACACACATATTTTGTAAATACATATAAATATATTTCATATTTGAAACATATATGCTAGTTTTACTTTTAGAAAGTGAATTATAAACTTTTTAACAATGCAACAGTATTGATATCTTGATATTATCTTATAGAAATATTAAAATACTGACATTATAACCTATTCTGGATTTATACATCACACACACAAAAATTCAGCCTAAAGCAGGGTGCCAACTCCAGTTTAACATTAGATAATTAGTGAGTATCCAGTACATTATTCTGTTAAATTCAGAGGACATATCCATGTCCAACCAGAGACAATGTTGTGACCAATTTAGCTTATGAAGTAAACACAAGAGAAGAAGAGGTTGGCATCTATCTGCCATCCCTGATATTGAAGATACAGACTAATTAATTGGCAAATTTTATTGTGAGCCATAAAGTACACTAAAATACATGCTTTAAGTCTTGTGAAAGCAGTGAAGATATGTTAACTAATTGTGCCTTAGGGACCTCTGAAACCTTCATGCCTATCCTATCTTAAAGGAAAAGCAGGAAAGAGAAACGGGAAGAATCAAGCATTTCAAGCAGAAGAAATATATGCAAAGGCAAAGTTTTTGAAGAAGCCTTGCATAACCAAGAACAGAGATTCAGTGTGAACAAAATTAGGATGCATGGGAGAACATAAAGCTATAAAGGTAGGTTAGAGCACATATGGTTCCTATAATGCAGCTGTGAAATTTGGACTTAATCCTAAGGAACAGAATTAAAGAAATTAAGGAAAAGGTGGTTTCACATAGTTCAGAGAGAGATAAGTGAGATGCTGAAGAGGTGAACTAAACAAGTTACTACAATGAAAACATGGAAGACAGGTTGGATTACAGAAACATTTCTGAAATTGATTCAGTATAAATCAATTTCATTAGAGGCCAAATGAATCTAATTATATTAGAGGCCAAATGAATGTAACAGATACCTGGTGAGGAAGAAAAGGGAGTTGAGAATGACTCCATGTTTTTAACTGAGCCATTTGAGTGGTACGACAAAATAACTAAGACAGAGAATACAGATGGAGGATCAGAGTAGCGGTTATTCTGTTTACATGCCGGCTTGTTTCTGAGACAAGAATAATGAATTCAGTTATTTTAAGTTTATTTTTAAATTTATATTTAGTAAAAATCACTCTTTTGGTATACAGTTCTATGAATTTCACAAATGCACAGGCATGTAACCATCACAATCAAGACAGAATAGTTCTGTCACCCCCACAAACTCCCTCAAGCTGCTCCTTTTAGCCCTCCCTGACTCTTAACATCTGGTAAAAACTGAATTCTCCATCCCTACAGTTCTGCCTTTTCCTGAATTTCAGAAAAATTGAATCATATAGCATGTAGTCTTTTGAATCTGGTGTCTCAGAAAAGGAATAAAATACCTCAGAATACAGCCAGCCAGAGAGGTGAAAATCTCTAGAGTGAGAATTATAAAACATTGCTCAAAGAAATCAGAGAGGATAAAAACAAATGGTAAAATATTTCATGCTTATGGATATAAAGAATCAATATCATGAAAATGGCCATACTGACCAAAGCAATTTACAGATTCAATGCTTTTCCTATCAAATTACCAATGACATTCTTCACAGAACTAGAAAAAAAAAACATTTTAAAATTCATATGTAACCGAAAAAGAGCCTGAATAGCAAGGAAAACCTAACCAAAAAGAACGAAGCTGGAGGCATCATATTACCTGATTTCAATCTATACTACAGGGCTACAGCAACCAAAACAGCATGGTACTGGTACAAAAACAGACACATAGACCAGTGGAACAAAATAGCTCATAAATAAGGCCACACACCTACAATCACCTGATCTTTGACAAAGCTGACAAAAACAACCAATGGGGAAAGGACTCCCTATTCAATAAACGGTGCTGGGATAACTGGCTAGCTACATGCATTAAGATTGAAACTGGACCCCTTTCTTAGACCACATAGAGAAATCACCTTGAGACAGATTAAAGACTTAAATATAAAACCCAAAACTATAAAAACCCTGGAAGATAACACAGGCAATACCATTCTGGACACAGGAATAGTCCGAGATTTCACGATGAAGGGGCCAACAGCAATAGCAACAAAAGAAAAAATGACAAATGGAATCTAATTAAACTTAAGAGCTCCTACACAGCAAAAGATACTAACAACAGAGTAAAAGACAACCTACAGAATGGGAGAAAATCATTGCAAACTATGCATGTGGTAAAGGTCTAATATCCAGCATCTGTAAGAAACTTAAACAAATTTACAAGAAAAATTCAAAGAACCCCATTAAAAAGTGAGCAAAGGACATGAACAGATACTTTTCAAAGGACATACATGCAGCCAACAAGTATATGAAAACAAGGTTAACATCATTGATCATTAAAGAAATGCAAATCAAAACCACAATAAAATATCATCTCACACCAGTCAGAAAGGCTATTATTAAAAAGCTAAAAAAATCCAAGTATGGTGGCTCACGCCTATAATCCCAGCAGTCTGGGAGGCCGAGGCATAAAGATCACTTGAGCTCAGAAGTTTGAGACCAGCCTAAGCCACGTAGTGAGACAGATGCTCTCACAAAACATCAAAACATTAGCCAGACATGGTGGCACGTGACTGAAGTCTCAGCTATTTGGAAGGCTGAGGTGGAAGAATCACTTGAGCCCAGAGGTCAAGGCTACAGTGGCCATGATCAAGCCACTGCACTCCAGCCTGGGCAACAGTGAGACCGTGTCTCAAAAAAGAAAAGAAAAAAAGTCAAAAAACAAATGTAAATTAGTTCAATCACTGTGGAAAGCAGTGTGGCAATTCCTCAAAGAGCTAAAAACAGAACTACCATTTGACCCAGAAATCACATTACTGGGTATTTATCCCGAGGAATATAAATCATTCTACCATAAAGATACATGCACACAAATGTTCACTGCAGCACTATTCACAATAGCAAAGACATGGAATCAACCTAGATGTCCATAAATAACAGAATGGATAAAGAAAATGTGGTACACAAACACCATGAATACTATGCAGCCACAAAAAAGAATGAGATCATGTCTTTTGTGGGAACATGAATGAAGCTGGAGGACATTATCCTTAGCAAACTAATGCAGGAACAGAAAACCAAATACCACATGTTCTTACTTAAAAGTGGGAGCTAAATGATGAGAACACACGGACACAAAGAAGGGGACAACAGATACTGGTGACCTACCAGAGGGTGGAGGGTAGGAGGAGAGAGAGAAGCAGAAAAAATAACTATTGGGTACTAGGCTTAATACCTGAATGACAAAATAATCTGTACAACACCCATAACACAAGTTTACCTATATAACAAATTTGCACATGTACCTCTGAGCCTAAAAGGTAAAATCAACAACAACAACAACAAAACCAGCAAAATAAAACTGGCTTCCTTCATTTAGCACAGTATTTGAGTTACCCATGTTGTTGGCATCTATCAACTCTCTTGCTTATTGCTGAGTATTATTCCACAGTAGGGACCTATCATGGTTTATCTGTTTTCCAGTTAAAGAACATCTAGGTGGTTTCTAGTTTTTGAAGGTTATGAATCAATTTGCTACACATATTCATGTAAAGGTGTTTGCGTAAACATAAGTTTTCATTTCACTCAGTAAATATCTAGGAGTAGAACTAACGGATAAGAAGCTGTCAAACTGCTTTCCAAAGTGAGTATATCATCTTGCATTCCCATCAGTAATGTACAAGAGTTCCAGTTGCTTTGCATCCTGTCTCCACTTGATAATGTCAGGGTTTTTTGTCATTGTTAGTCATAGCCCTTCTAATAGGTGTATAGTGACTGGTTTTAAACATGTTAAATATATAGTACTTGGTGCACATGGAGGAGGCTTTGATCTATAGATGATTGAAAATATGGATCAGAACTCAGGACAGGGATCCAGAGTGACAATTCGGTATCATGTAGAGCTACAGAAGATGAATGACCAAAGGAGAGATCTTGAGGACACTTAATATTTTAGTGGAAAAAGGCAAGAGCAAAAGAAACCAAAAAGAAGTAGGTCAGAGAAAGAGAAGAATCAGAAAATAAGAGTCCTGCAAAAGAAAGGAGTTCAAAAAATAAAAGAATATTTAAGTGGTAATACCACTAAAAAACAGGCCACTAGGTTTATTCAATCACTGATTCATCCAGAAAATAAAAGTGCCTATAATAATCCAAGTACCATATCAGGCATCAGATTTGGTAATTATGTCACTAGTAAATATGGTGAGACAAATCTCACTACTGGTGGAGCTGAAAGCAGAAGGGAATGTGCTGAGGACTTGAGATGACTGAATAGGAATACATTCATAATTTACCAAAATCCCTCCTTTAAAACATTTAATGGATTCAGCAATACTATGTGCACCTACAAATAATTACCATTAGAAACTGTCCAATAGGGTCGGATGGGGTAACTCACTACCTGTAATGCTAGCACTTTAGAAGGCCAAGGAGGGTAGATCACTTGAGGTCAGGAGTTTGAGACCAACCTGGCCATTATGGAGAAATCCCGTCTCTACTAAAAATATAAAAATCGACCAGGCATGGTAGTGGAGGCTGTAGTCCCAGCTACTCAGGAGGCTGAGGCAGGAGAATCACTTGAACCTGAGAGGCAGAGGTTGCAGTGAGCCAAGATTTTGCCACTGCACTCCAGCCTGGACTCCAGCCTGGGCGACAGTATCAGACTCTGTCTCAAAAAAAAAAAAAAAAAAAAAAAAAAAAAAGGAGAGAGAAACTGCTCAGCATAACTTCACTAATAACAATGCTTGGCATGGCCAAGCACCGTGGTTCACGCCTGTAATCCCAGCACTTTGGGAAGCCGAGGCAGGCAGATCACAAGGTCAGGAGTTCGACAGCTTGGCCTACAGGCTGAAACCCTGACTCCATTAAAAATAAAAATAAAAATAAAAATAAAAAACAATGCTTGGCATTATTCTCTATTTTATTTTATTTTATTTATTTATTTTGAGACGGAGTTTCACTCTTGTTACCCAGGCTGGGGTGCAATGGCGCGATCTCGGCTCACCGCAACCTCCGCCTCCTGGGTTCAGGCAATTCTCCTGCCTCAGCCTCCTGAGTAGTTGGGATTACAGGCACGCGCCATCATGCCCAGCTAATGTTTTGTATGTTTAGTAGAGACGGGGTTTCACCATGTTGACGAGGATGGTCTCGATCTCTTGACCTCGTTATCGACCCGCCTTGGCCTCCCAAAGTGCTGGGATTACAGGCTTAAGTCACCGCGCCCGGCCTCTCTTTTATATATTAAAAAGCTAGACTTGAAAAGAAAAAAATAGCAATTGGTGTTCATTACGGAGCAAACTGATCGTAGCATTACGGAACAAAACGATCGTAGTATTAGTTGTTAAGTTATACTCAATATGTATAAAATATTTAGGTAAAATAAAATGCTCATGGAAATAAAACTCTTAAAATATTTATCACCTATATATGTAGCACATTCTAGGCCACTGCCTCTAAACGCTTTTGTTCACATATCCTACATATGTAAAATGTATTTGTGCATTCATCCTGAATATATTTATTTCTATACATGCATTACGATTCTACTACTCCATCATAAAATTCACAAAAATAGAAATTTTAAGAATGAAAGTTTGAAAAGGCAAACAAATAGAAGTTCTAATACTTTCTCGCCACATGTAACTGAATCACCTTGTGTCCCACCACACACACATACACACACAAAGACGCTACTCATGATATCATTAATTCAAGCAACCGCACTGTAACTGTTCAATATGAATTTTAGCCAAATAAAATGTAGCCCCAACAACTCATATATCATTTGTTCCTTTTTCTTCAATAGTACTGACTTCCGGCTTCATATTTAACACCTGCATCCATCCTCACTGCAGTTGCTTTAAAGGGGACAATAAAACAAGGAAAATTACCTCTAAACGTGCCTCACCCAATGGGATTGTTTCGTTCGTTGAAAAATAAATTTAAAGGCTGCACTTCAAAGGCTGAGATCTCATAAAAATTAAATATAAGAAATGTTATTCAGGCACTTTAAAGTTACAGAATAGAGGAATTTTTATTATTATTGTTCATAAGCTTTCAATGGCTCTTAGAAAAACCGTGTTGAAGTTGGGCAAATAACTAGAATATGAACTTAGGGTTTTCTCTTTAATATCAATCGACATTATTTCTTATGCCGGTAAAGCCTTCATTTCCATGGGGTTGGGTGCTTCATTAGTGAAAGTAAAAGACTGCACAAAGCGAGTAAGTGCTAACGAGAGAGCCCTTACAACCAGACAAGCAGTACTTAGGTCGGAAGGACACAATTGTTCCTGACCTACCGAGAAAGCCACGTTCCTGCAGAATATGAGTCATTATTGGGTGTTGTAATTGAGAGAGAAATCATTAGTGTTTTTTATCTTTTTTTTAAAAAAAGTGTCTAAAAAGCTCAAAAGTAAATGCCAGTGTCATATTCTTTAGACGTAGCACTGTCATATCACAGCTTTCAAATCCTTCCATCTCCTATGCATTATCGATGAAACACTTAAGTTTCCATCTGAGTACGGGGCTGACCGACTGTTAGAAGCGTGGAGCCCAGGCTTGCCTTGTGGTCGGGAATGAGCCCGGGAGGAACCTGCACGCAGGTGAAGACCGCAAGGCTAGGAGGCCCCCCGCGATGGAACCCGTCTCTTCTTTGGACACCGTGGAATTTCCATAAACTGCCGGACACAGCCGCTGGGTACCAGGTGTGTGTGGCAACGTTCGGCAATTCCATTAACCAAAAAGAACTACCGGGGAACGGTGAGGCGGGGCGGCGAAGATGAGACCGGCTGCCCAACACTCCTTCCGAGCACCGGCAGAAAGAATCTGAACTCACCAAGCCTTCGCGTCCGCTAGGGAAATGTGCGGCCGCCACGCCCCCGCGACCGCGGTCGCCCTCAGGAAAACCTGAGAAGCACCCCGGCATCGCCAGGTTCCAGAGCCTTTAGCAACGGAAAGTGTCAATAAAAACCGTGGACCCAGGAACTACTAGTTGCCAAAGGGACCAAACAAAAGGCTCCCCCAACCTGGCCCGCGTCCACTCCCACTTACCCATTAATGTGGCACTCTCCGATGCCCTGATTTTCGAGTCCCCAGCGACAACGTGTGTGCCGGGTAACAGAAGGGCCGCCACTCCGCCCCTGGCGTGAAGCGGAGCGACCGAACACAATCCAAGATGGCGGCCACCTGCGCCCCTTCCCCGAGACCCCGAGGCTCGGTTCCCAGAAGCCCTTGCACTCGGAGCTGCGGCGGCGGCGGCGGCGGCTCATCAGCGCGGGCTTGTCAGCACATCTGAGCGGAGGGGCGTAGAGAAGTGCGCGCCTTCGCCCCGCCCACTGAAGGAGGAGCCTGCGCCTGCGCCTGCGCCTGCGCCTGCGGCAACCTCTGCATTTCAGTTGCACTTGTGATGACCATGCTGTAGATACTCTACAGCCCGTAGACCTCCGTGTGTGCAAAGAAAGGGTCGACCCCCTCATTCATTCATTCATTCATTCATTCATTCGTCATTCGTGCGTATGTTTTTGAGGATATAAACTGTGCCAAGTACCATTTTAGACACATTATTGGGGCTACAACAGTGCGAAAAGGGTAAAAATCGCAGCCTTGTCGAGTGTACGTACAGAGAGCTCACGTTTTCTTCAGCTTCATTAACTTCCTTATATATGCTTTGCTCTTTTTGTTTCAAGCTTTTTATTTTACGTTTATAATTTTGTATTCTATAACATCTGTTTTTTTTTTTTCTTTGAGACGGAGTTTCGCTCTGTCGCCAGGCTGGAGTGCAGTGGCGCGATCTCCGCTCGCTGCAACCTCCGCCTCCCGGGTTCAAGCGATTCTTCTGCCTCAGCCTCCCGAGTAGCTGGGACTACAGGCGAGCGCCACCATACCAGACTAGTTTTGTATTTTTAGTAGAGACGGGGTTTCACCATAATGGTCAGGCTGGTCTCGAATTCCTGACCTCGTGATCTGCCCGCCTCGGCTTCCCAAAGTGCTTGGATTACAGGCGTGAGCCACCGCGTCCGGCCACATCTGTGGATTTTTGACAACATGTAGTCACCAATAAATGAATAACTTCAGTTAAAGCACTGTTGATTATAACACCCAGCCTTGTAATCTACCCTGGAGTTCAACAAACGGTATTGAAAACAGACTGTGTTCCAGATGCGATGCTAGGAAGAGAATAAACAAGATAAACAATACATGAATCCTACCCAGAAGACGTTTGCAATTTTTAGGAGGAAAAACATGAAGACAAATTGTTTAAGATGTTTTCAATAGTTGAAAAATAAGCTATTTTCAATAGTTGAAAAATAAACGGGAGAGAAGGGATTGTTTAACAAGGCGTATGTGCGGCTGAGAAAAGCAAGTTTGACAAAAGAAACCTGGGCAGTGTTGCGGTAAAACGTTGCCAATCACGAGTCCATATAGTGAAGTGAAAGCAAAGATTATTAGAGAAGCAAAGAAACAAAACAATGGCTACTCCATAGGCAGAGCAGCGCCTTGGGCTGCTGGAATAAGTATACTTATAGTTATTCTTGATTATATGTTAAACAAGGGGTGGATTATTCATGAGTTTCAAGGGCAATTATTGGAACTTAGGGTTCTACCCTCTTTTAGACTATATGACTTTTGGATGTTGCCATGGCATTTGTAAAACTGTCGTGGTGCTGATGGGAGTGTCTTTTAGCATACTAATGTATTATAATGCGCATATAATGAGCAGTGAGGATGACTTTGTCTTCATCTTGGTTTTGGTGGGTTTTGCCTGGCTTCTTTACCACATTCTGTTTTATTAGCAGGGTCTTTGTGACCTGTATCTTGTGTGGGACCTCCTATCTACTGTAACTAAGAATGCCTAACCTCCTGGGAATGCAGCCCATTAGGTACCAGCACCTGTTCAAGATGGAGTCACTCTGGTTCAAATGCCTCTGACAACAGGACTACTGAAAGTATTGATATGAGTTTATTTTGCCTTAATCACCTGGCCATCCTATCCCTTTCTTATTTCCTCCCTACTCCTCTCACCTGAGAGACTGAATTCAAATAGACAATGGTCAGACTATATACTCAAATAGAACCCTAACCTATAACCTTCAATAACCAGCCCAGGAAGCCAATCTACTATGTACAGTAACCAGCCCAAGAAGTCAAACTACTGTATATGAGCAACGCAGTCTAGGAAGCCAAGAAATAACCCTTGTAGCAATCTACCCTAAATGGCCAGGATGTGATTAATAACTGACAGCTTCCCTAATTTTTGTCTAAGCTTCCAACTCAAGGTGCAGCTAGAGAAAGCCAAATATGTAACCCAACCCTAAATAATCACATAGGATCTCTGCTTTTAATTAGCCCACCTGCAGCTTCTCCATGCCAACAGTCTTGAATTGGCATACCTGAAGCTTTCTCTTTTTTTGCCACTATAAAGCTTTCTCCATTCCTTTGCCGTGCCATTGAGTCTCATAACAAATGCAAGTGATGGTGATTGACTCCCTTGCTATTGTACGCTCCAATTAAATTTGGCTTTGCTTGTTCTCATTCAGATGATCTGTACTTGTTTCTATACTCCTGAAGATTCCTGCTGTCTGGACATGCTTCCAGTCTGGATAGATCTGTTATCTGCAGCAGCAGAAAGAAAGAAAAGAGAGCGAGAGAGACCATAGGAGAGAGAAGAGAAAGAGATTACCGGACGAGCGGAGAAGAGACAGGAGAGACAAGAGACGATGAGATTTAGCACTGACCGAGGACGAGTTTAGATAACCTCACGGGTGGTTAATAGTTGGTCCTCTCTAGACCCCCACTGCTCAGCGCAGGGTTCTGGATCCTGGGGGCTTATTTCATAATTCCCAAAAAAAAAGACACTGGAGAGGAAATTATAGGGATAAGGCTTCATAAGGATATCAAGATGCTTTTGAAGTCAATTAGTACTATGCAGTTGGCCAACCACAAGCACACTTCCCTTAACCAAGAGAGAGAACTGACTTTCTATTCTATGGCATCTTCCCAATCTCTGCCTATCAAAATTTATTAAAATCCAAATTCTTTAGGCGGGGGGGTCCTTCCTATCCCAAAAAAGACTGCTCTCTTGCCCCTCCCAAAAGTGTGAGAAGAGAGAGACGGAGATGTGAAGGGCTTATTGCCCTATTATTAGCTTACCTCCTTCAACAAGGCCATATGATGCGAAAAAAACAAAATTGTGGAAAAAAAAGGAAAAGGGTAGAGAAAAAAAAAGACAGAACGGGTTCAAGCCCAAAAACAAAAAAAAAGCTCTCAAACCAAATTTTTTTACTTTAGGCAGACTCATGTTACTGTTATAAGTTCATGGAATATTTTCAATCCCCCTCAAATTCATGTTGTTGTTTGAAAACCCTGCGTAAACTCTCAAAGTTGGATAGTATACTAAGGAAAGAGGTGGGGCCTCTCCTTTTGGCGAGGAGATGATCCCTTGCCCTCATTGCTGGGGCCTTCTTATTTGGGAGATGGGCGAGAGTACATTATCTATTATTGGGAATGGTAAGATGGAGACAGAAGAGAGAAGAAGCCTCTAATAATGGAATTTTAGTTGCCATTGTAAAACTAAAAAACAAGGTTTGAATTGTGGTGGGTTGAATGAATTTGTGGTGGGGAAGTTGGTTGAATGGGAAAATGAAGGAATAAAAAAACTGCCTTGCCCCTCTTCCCTTCCACGATAGTAGGATTTAGACGGTGTTAGACGTTGGGCTTTATGGTGAGGCTTAGTAGACGGTCAAAAGGAGGTGGTTTAGACGGAGAGGTGGGGTGTTTTGGGGACGGGGGTGAGGTTCAGGGTTAACTTTTACTGTCCTAATGAGGCCCCTTTTTCCTCGTTTTCCTTTACCCTACTAAAAGGCAGTTGTTGTTCTTGTGGTCTCTATTGACGGGGAAACTGGCCTCTCCTAGAATCATTCATTCAAGGACCACACCTTTCATCTGTCGAGCCTATCGAAAAAATCTTTGACTTCTTAAGCCTCCAAAAACTTATTAGGAACATTTTAAGATAAGAGCAGAAGAATCTCTTTTCCCACACAAGAAGAAGGAAAGATTCCTCCACTTTACAATAGAGCGGGTTCTTATTGCCCCAAAACATACCCTATTTATACTTCAGCATAGTTGGCGGATGAATTTGAAAATAATTGTTTTTTTTAATATGAGTTCCAAAAAAAAAAAAAAAAAAAATGCAATTTTTTCATGTAATTTAATACACCTCCCTAACCTACTGAAGTGCAATTATAGTTCCTATCCTTTTCAGGATTTAGAACTAGAATTTAGAATACTTTTCCTTAAACATGATAGAACATTTTATTTTTTTAGCCCTACAAATTCGAGTGTCAAAAGTCACTAGGTTAACACAAAATCGCCTCAAATAAAGCTTGGTGATG